GGTATTTCTCCTATAAACAGCCCAGATTTCTCTTATAGACATCTGGGGTCCATAGTTCCACATTCTTTGTCCTCTATTTCTCTCTTGTCATATTTCATCATTATAGGCTCATACAATTTCTAAGATATTGATAGCTTATTCTCTCTTAGATCTAGCTGTTTTTAAAGCTTGACTACACTTTAGTGATGGTGATAAGAACATTTATCTCTTTACTTAAAATATGTCATAAATGTAGTGACCTTTGCAATCTAATGGTGAATGCTTGAGTTTGCTCTTTTCCTTTTGTTATAGAATCTGTGCCCAGCTATACTACCAAAGTCTCTTTTAGCCTTCAGCTTTGATACCATCCATCAGAAAAATCTCCCTACAGAGTGGATCTATAAATCTTCACATCGTGGGTCGTGTCATATAGGAATAATGGCTTATACTTGAGGACAAAGACTAGAAGCCCCGTCATAACTGTGAGGAAAAATAACCTTTAAATTTCAATATATGAATACCTCTCTCTGTGGACTGTAGATCTGGTGAATGGGTATATAGAATGACATTTAAAGATGCATGTGTATATAGTTGCTTCCAAATAATGAGTGCACATTTAATATGTTAGAAGAGGTACTGTTTTAGAAAATTATAACCTAAAGACCAAATTTTGAAGTTGATGGCATTGTTTTCAGAAATCAAGGGATAATGGGCTTGAGAAAACAACACATATTTGACAAGTCAGACAAAGGTTTATTTTATTATTTTGAAAAATGTTCTTAATGCATTATTTCTTTTAATGAGAATAACTTTCCTTGGCTTTATACACATTTCTATTTCTACGTGTTTTCAATGATATTTTGCAAGGGTGGGCTTTCAGGAGAGACTTGGGTGTATTCAGGCCACAGCCTTCCGAGCACTCAGTCGATGCCCAGATGCTGTGCTGGTCCTAGTGGAGGAAGCTGGGGCTGGACGCTTCAGGGGAGACCTTGCACGGCCTGCATGGCTGGTCACCTGCCCTGAGTGGCCTCCTGGAACCTGCTTCTGCAAAGGTGGTGCCCTCAGGCCCCTCTTCATGTGGCCTTAGGCGGTGGCTGTGGTGACTGGTCTGGCCTGATGAGGAGAAGCCACCTTGTGGCTTCAACCAGACAGCTCCGACCATGGCCGGAATGCTGTGGCCAGGGGCAGCCTATGCTAGTGGGGTTTATATTCACAAAGACAGGATTCCTTGCTGGGTTTGGGACTCTTACAGCATCGTCTATGATTCGGAGAAATTGTACACGCTTCTAGTTTTTATACTACTGTCTTGGGCTAAAAAATAGAAGCTCACACAGCCTTGAAGATCCACTTAAGTAGCTTTTGTGACAAAGAAGGAAAAGACACATATATTCACATGTTTTTATATATGAATTGACTCTTCTGTGGCCTACCCCAGTACTGTCTACTACAAATTTTTGCAGTGATGGAAATGTGCTCTGTCCAATAGAGTAATCCCCAGACCTATGTGCTTCTTGAACTCTTGGACAAGGACTGGTGTAATTGAGAAACTAAAATTTTAATGTAAGTAGTCATAGTGGTAGCCTATTTGACAATGCAAGTCTGACCAGTTGGACTTTTTGGGAAGTCAACTGAGCAAAAAGTGAAAAGTGATTTTTTAAAGTGTTTTCTTATCTATTCCCAGAGGCATGCATTTAAACAGGATTAGTATTGGTGCCCTGATATTTTGTCTTGATAAGCTTACATCATAATTCTAAATATTTTATCCTTCACACCTGTAGAGCAGGCAGAGCATTGTAAAACCACATGGTGATTAATGCTTTAGTAGAGTATTGCTTCACTTAAAAACAAGCTCTGAGAGTAGATTGGAGATCAGAGTAGGAAGATGAACAATCACTTTAATTGAACCTCGTACAATTGTATTTTTCTTTTTAAGTATTTAAAAATATAATTCAAATTTACTATTTTATTTGATTCATTTTGGGATTTAAATGTTAACATATGGCCAATGGAAACTATATCTGGGGGCTTTCATACAACTCGACTATCCATAACTTATTTTCGTTACTTTTATTTCTTTAAAACCAGGTTTTTGTGCAAAGACCTTGTCTTTGTATTACATATAGAAAGATGAGAAAATACTGCATTAGTATTGTTTCATGTTACATAGACAACAAAATAAATATATTATTTGAATACCCTGCTGTTTAATATAGTCATATACATGTAAAAATGCATTCTATATGATGTATATGGACTGAAATAATTCGGAAAAGTAATTTACATGGTGTGATACATGGATGAACATTAATGCAGTATGAATGGAAAAATAAAATGTACTTCTTAGAAGAAAAATTTTCTGGTTCCAAACACTTTTTTACCCATTCTTCATACTTTGGAAGTTAAAGTTGTGCCTTTCACTTACTAGCAAGCTCCACAGTAGATTTCTTTACTTTCTAGAATGACCACTTACCATGCTTGCCAAACACCAGTTTGGGGAAGTTCATGATGATTGCATAGTAGCTCCAGAAATCAGCTATTACCTTTCCCATTCTGCCTGCGTCTCTTCTTTTTCCCTGTCTCCGGGTACATCTCCATACTTCTGAGTGGGAAGGAAATTTAGATACTTTGAAGTATTGTTTTGTGCTGTACATTGGTTTATTTTATGACATGTATGTTGGATATGTTTCTAACATTTAGGAAATTCATTCGAAGTTTTAAAACTTGAAATGGTGCGAAGCTGTATCAGCTTGAATGTCTCCCCTTAGAATATCCAACTATGTCATCAGAATGAAAACCTGAGATGCCTGAATTATTTTATTATAATGTTATGTAAATCACAGGGGAGCAAGTGACGGATTAACACTGGGCGCTACTCTTAATTCAGGATAGAAATCAGTTAAACTGGTAATTGAACCAAAGAAGATAAGACATCACATGAATTACTGTCTTGATTGTGAAATTCATGGGGTGGCTTGGGGGTTGGGAAAACCAAGAGGACCCAGCATTGAGCACCAACTGGCAGAGGAGTGGCTTTGTAAGCTGAATGCACATATGTGGGGTAAGGACATTATGGCTAAATTCTAATTCCAGCTGTGAGTGGTCTCCCTGTAGCTCCCACAGCCCAGGTGTGAGAATCAATCAGTCGAAAATCAGACCTGGGCCCCCCAGATGGTACAACGGGTTAAAGCACAGCACTGTGAAGCTGTCTGCAGCCACTGCAGCAGGAATTCCATCCCCAGACCGGGAGGTGATCCAGATGGTGCAACAGACCTCTCCTGTCCCACCCGCTGCTCCCCTCAGCAGTGTACTTCAGTCAATCTACTTGTTCTGCTTTCCACTCTGTCTCTGGTGACTCCTCTCACCCCCCACCCCGTACCTCTGGTCTGTACCCCAGTTCTTGTATGCAAAAATAAATGAATCTTAAATAAAATAAGACCTGGGATTCCCACTTTCAGGCTGTTTATTCTTGCAACTTTCTGAACATGTTTTGTGAATTTTGAAGAGGCTGATGATCATTGACAATCTTTTGGACGTTACCCACATTGGCATGCGTTTCTTTTGACTTGAATTGATTGGGTTAATAATGGCCTGTGAGAAAAGTTTTCAGAGTTTAAGCATTCCTGAAAGCCTTGAGAATAAAGAAAAATTTAAGAGAGAGGTGACAGTGTTGCTAATTTAAGGCACATAAATGGAAGGATTTGTCTTTCTTGATGAAAATAATATGTGTGAATTTTATTTATTTAATTTAATTAAAAAATTATAGTAGTTTATTTTTACATATTTTTGTGCATTTTTCCATCTCAGTTGCAATCCCTTTGGGCTTCCCATCACCAAATCACCCATGTGTCCTCACCATAGTCCAGTGCATTTCCCTCCCCCATTGTTTTTGATCCCATTCCCCACTGCACCCCCACAAAATGTCTCTGGTGTATAGCTGTTCATCATTATCATTATTTTCTCACCTGTCCTGTTATATTCCTGCTATGAGAGAAACCATGTGGTATTTTTCCTTTTCTTTCTGGCTTATCTCACTAAGCGTGATCTTTTCCAGCTCCATTCAAGTTGCTGCAAAAGACATGTGTTTCTTTTTCTTGGTTGCTGAGTAATATTCCATTGTATATATGTACCACATCTTTTTAATCCAGTTGTCCAGTTTTGGTCATTTGGGCTATTTCCATGTCGTATGTGAGTGAATTTTAAAGTTCTTTATACGAATCAGAAAAGTTCAAAAAACTTTTGGTTTGAGAATTCTGGAGCGAATCCCCCACATATTTCCACATGGGTCTTTTAGAACAGAGGTCCCCCAATGTTTTAATTGTGTAATCCTATCACTGATAACATGAGCACATGCTGCAAATATGCTATATATATTGATTTATAGATTCATTATAGCTTTACTCTCTCCTATGAGTATACTAAAGGAACATACACCATATATATAGCATACATTGTAACACATGCAACAAGAAATTATAAGTTAAAAAGACTAAATGGAGTTTCAAGGGTGTCTTTTCCACCTTGGTGGGTGGTCCCACTGCCTCCCTTAGCTGCATGGGGGCCGTTGCTTTAGAACCGAGGTTTTTAGTCTCAGGTTTTCGATCACAAAGGCCCCACAGATGGACATCAGAGGGTAGAGGGTTTTGCAGAGTTTCTGGTGAGCGGACTTACATTTCAGATTTCCATAGTCCTGTGAGCTACAAATGCTTCTGTCTCAGTTCTCTAGAGAATGAACGAAATGGCCCAAGTTTCTTTTTAATTGAGGTGCAATTCACATGACATGGCATGAACCTCTGATGGCAGACCCTTCAGTAGCTTTTGGTGCCTGCCCAGTGCAGCCACCAACTCTTCCCTGTCCAAAACATTGTCACCAACATTCCCTAAAGCCCACACAGAAAGTCACCGCTCCCTTTCCACCCCTCCTGTAGCCACCAGGCTACTGCCTGTCTCTGAATTTACCTATTTTGAACATTTCCTGCCAGTGGGATAAGGCAACCCATGTCCTGTGTGTTTGTCTGAGAGGCTCAGAGAGTGTTTAGTAAGACGGTGACCGTGATGGTGATGATGACGATGAGGAGGACACAGCAGCACAGGTGCAGCCTCCTGCGTGTGGAATTCCGGGTCATGTGGGGAGGGGGCAACTCCCACGAGGGGGGTACCACGTGGTGGCTGGTGTGTACTCCTGGGCTCCAGTAAGTGGGGAATCTCACAGACTGACTGGGCCCAGAAGGCCGGGGCCTGGGCAACCTCTTTTCTTTCTTTTCTGTTTCCACTAAGGAGCTACTTCTGATGGGAGAAGGCTTGGGCACCCTCTTTTCTGTTTCCACCAAGGTGCTACTCCTGATGGGAGAAGGCTTGGGCACCCTCTTTTCTGTTTCCACCAAGGAGCTACTCCTGATGGGAGAAGGCTTGGGTACCCTCTTTTCTGTTTCCACCATGGGGCTATGCTTGAGCACCTCCTTTTTGGTCTTTATTGTTTCCACCATGGGGCTACTCTTTATGGGAAAAGGCTTTTGAGGGGTGACCCCCCCAGGCTGTGAGCTTATTGGGGGAAGCGCTGGAAATGCTGGGGACTGTACGACCGGACCTGACCTACTCTCAGCACAGAGGCCCTGCAGACATGCCTCGCAGTTGTGACTGTCATGTGGTCCTTCATGAGAGACCTCCTTGATGATCACAGGAATCTCCACCAACTTAAATCCTTCTTTGTAGCATTTCTTCAAAATGTGCAAGACCAGGTTGTTCAGGATGCGCGAGATGTTCTCTTTCATGATCTGTGGGGCCTCAAAGGGAGCCTGGGAACATTTCTGACACTTCTGTGCAAAGACCCTCATCTTCACCTCACCCCGGGAGGCCTCCTCATTCCAGCGCAAGTGGAAAAGGACCTGCACGCGGGCAGAGGCCCAACTTCGCGAGCACACGGAACACTGGAACCTGTGGAGACCGAAGACGAGACCCTCGGTTGGCGCATTCTATCCATACTGTGGGCCAAGAGAGGGAAGGAGTCACAAACAGCGACTCGATCGAGGCATGGGGGAAAGAATCACCGAGCCCCTCTTCCATTCTCTGCTGTACTGCCAGCACATGCTGTGACCACAGGCGTCTGTCCTGAAAAGAGCAGTTCTGAGCGGGCAGAGCTGCCCAGGGCGTCTTCTGACGTGATATTCTAGAGGTGAGGCGCACACTGTGAACTTGTCCTGCCCAGGCCAGGGCTCCACCTCTCTCCTGACCCCATACCAAGGCCTTTTCAAATGCAGATTTAAGTTGGTCAAAATGTTACCAACTTGGCCCTCCCTGGTGTCCCAACTAGTTAGGACACAGTACTGCAAGCTGGCCCCAGCAGCTTCAGTATGAGTTTGATTCCCACCCTGGAGCTGACCCACATGGCGCAGCAGATCTCTCCTGACCCGCCCGCTACTCCCCTCAGCAGTGTACTTCGTCGATCTGCCTGTTCTGCTCCCCACTCTGTCTCTGGTGAAGCCTCTCACTCCCTGCACCTCTGGCCTGTACCCCAGTTCTATATACAAAAATCTTAAAGTGCTCGTGTTAGAAAGGGTTGGGGGTGCTTGGGGAGGTGCTCAGGTCATGAGGGTGAAGTCTTCGTGATGGGATTAGTGCCCTGACGAAAGAGATCCCCAGCATGCCCTAACTCCTGTTGCCAAGAAGTCTGGGGCCCAAAAGAGGGCTCCTCACCTGCATCCTGAGATTGAACTTCCAGCTTCAGAGCTAAGAGCCATAAACCTTGGCTGCTCATGGGCTGCCCAGCTGGTAGGTCTTATTTAGTTGATTATTTTTATAGCAGCCTGAGTGGACTAAGACAGTAAGTCATAGGCCTGTAGACCCGGGAGGGGCCCTGAAAATCATGTCTAGGGGGAAGTCTTGCTTTGCCTTGGTTAACCAGGGCCCCCAATCTGGAAATTCAGGGAGACTACAGAGTTAATTCTCTCTTCTTTGGGCTACATGTCCAACCCAAGTCATTGCTCAAGGCAGCCTGAAAAGCTTCCTTTTCCAGGTGCCCCTGGCCTCAACAGGGCATAAAAGAACGACATCTCCTTGCAGCAGGGAGAAGAGCAATTTTTAAAAAATGACTTTATTTATTTATGCATACAGAAATGGGGTACATACCAGAGGTGCAGGGGCAGTGAGAGGATTCACAACAGCGGGAGTAGAACAGGCAGAATGAAAAAGTACACTGCTGAGGGGAGCAGGTCAGGAGAGGTCTGCTGTGCCATGTGGGTCACCTTTAGGGCGGGGGATTGAACTCACACTGAAGAGGCCACAGCTTGGCCTATCTTTTCAGTGCAGCACTCCAACCCACTGCGCCACCAGGGAGGGCACAGGGCAATTTTCTGCATTAAGAAATTTGAACAGGGCCCTCCCTGGTGGGGCAATGGGTTAGGATGCAGCACTGCAGGCCAACTGTAGCCACAGCCATTTCAGTGCGGGTTCGACCCCCGGCCCTGGAGGTGATCCACAGGATGCAGCAGACCTCTCCTAACCACCTGCTGCTGCCCTCAGCAGTGTACTTTGTCGATCTGCCTGTCCTGCTCCCCGCTCTGTCTCTGGTGAATCCTCTCACCGCTCCTGCACCTCTGGTCTGCACCTCAGTTCTGTATGCATAAATAAATAAATGTTTTAAAAAAATGAAATTTGAACAGATACAGGCCTGGACTTAAGGAGACGGGGAAGAAGGCAGGGAAGCAGGCGGCTGCCCCCCCACAGGAGTGACAGAGGAGTGAGGGCTGCAGTGTGGCAGGGACGCTGAGTGCTCATGCCCTCCCACCACCCAGCCCCCTTGCGGCTAGGTTAGGGCAATGTGACCCGTTGGCCGGGTGGGTCGGACAGAACGATACATGCTGCTTCCAGATCTGAAGCAGAAGCCTGGCAAAACCCGTCAGGTCTCTCCCTCTGCCTCGGGGACTTGGGGAACACCAACTAATCCAGGTTTTTCTTCCCTTCTTTTTTTCTTTTTATAGTAGCAGCTTGCTGAGCCTTGGATGCCAGGACACCGGGAGCCTGAGGTGGTGGGCTGGAGAGGGTATCACACAGGCAACCAACCCTTGCTCCATCCAGGGATAGAGTTCCAGAAACCACCTCTCTGTGTCCCATCTCGGGGCTCTGCTTTTCCACCTAGAAAGAGCTTTGGGTGACTTCCAGGGCCCCATTTCAAAGAAGACCCCCAGCGCAGGAGGGCAAGATTGCTGTGTGCTGCTCACTTGCTCTGTCCTCTGCCCGCCCCCAAGGGGGTATCTCCGTGGGCTCTCGGGTGGGTCCCAGGGTCCAAGCAGAGTGTGTGTTCACTGAGTCTGCTCCTCTGGGTCTCCTGTTGTCACTCCTTTCTCTCTCTTTCCCTCTCTACTCTGTGTGTCCTGCCTTATTTCTCTGTATCTGGTGTTAATCCACATCTGTGCTCATCTTGCTCTTGTTTTGGGGTTCATCATAAAGGAAAAATAAACCACTTCATCTGAAACTAAGCTTCCTGGATAATAGGTATTTTACTTTCTATAATCTCCAGTTCACAAGCATGGAATAGCATCAAGGAAAGCAACAGGTGTACACGGTAAGAAATGAGCAAGACTCTTCTGGAACAAGTGCCATTGGATTTCCCACTCACCTGGCGAAGGTGTGCTGCTGGTATTGCATCCACCTGGGCTTCAGGTTGTTGGGAAGAAGGCATTTGTCCACTGTCAGGGTCCATCTGTGTCCTGGTTTTACCTCCTGAATCAATGCCTGGAACTCTTGCTTCCATTCCTCGATGTCCTGACCCATCACTGCTGCTGTGGCGAGTGGGGTGCATGAAGGTGTCCTGGGCTTGAGTGGATCTATAGCAAGATGGGAGGTGTCCCACTTTAGAGACTAAAGCCTCTCCCCTGCTCTTCTTCTGTGGGCCTAGATCAGGCCCAGGTCTTTGCTGCAAGGACAAAGGTCAGTTGACTCTGGCTCTAAGTTCCAAGGTCAGCTCTAGGCTCTATGGGGGATTTCAAAGACTCAGAATGCCTGCGTTCATCCATCAATGATTAACCAAGGAGATGTTTGGACTCCATGTCAGGCAGACTGGCTCTCAGTCTGCTGTGTTTACCTCCCTTGAACCCAGGCTCCCACTCTGGCCATTGCTCCAGACTTTGGAAAGCCTGCCTGTTGGGTTGCTGTGCTTGTGGTGGGGGAGGAGAGACACCCTGAAGGACGCAGCCCCCAAGAGGCACCAACATGGAATTGTGAGTGAGAAGACATGGCTTCCGCCTGCCTGCAGACACTGGGAGCCCAAGGTGTTACCTCATCCCTCTGGGGTGTGGGGAGTATGGGAAGAGATGCTGCCTTGGAATCTGGCTTCTGCCCCTTACAGGGATAGCAGCAATCAAAGCATCACACTGCGGGACTTGAGGAACATGGCCTGCGTGTGACTGCACTGTAGGGTGATTGCCAGCTCTGGTGAGCAAAGCCAGCCAGTGCCAGGAGTGGGCTCTGTAAAGACGGAGGGGCTGGCACAGGGAATAGTGTGGTCGAAGAGCTCTCAGGAGGCTCCATTTCCTGCTAGGAGCTGTGTGGGTTCTTACCTCTGCCCAACCCTCCCCCCCCCCACACCCCCAGCCTCAGCCCGTGACCTCAACATCTCTGTGACTGACACTGAGCAAGCAGATGGTCCTCTCTTGCATGGGCAGCTGTCAAACGAATTGTGGGGTGGCCTTACAACTCCGCCTTTTCCATCAGTGTCCCTTTCTTGCCCCAGTCCCTCCAACCCCCATTCCTGCTCACTATGGTCTCCAGCAGGATGCTCTGCTTTCATGCTCTGTGGACTGTGTCTTGCACCCCCATGGATGGTTTGGGCCCAGAGTACAGCAGGAACCAGGAAATAAAGCCCCGAGCAGACCTTACCAGCCGCTGGGCCCCTGCCGGCCTCTGGCTCAGTCTTTAGTCTCAGCTTTCTGCTACCAGCTTCCCCGATTCCTGAAACTCTAGCTGGGCCCTGGACTGGTCCAAAATTTAATCAACAAGTGAAAAGGAAGACTTCTGGCAGGGCGTGGGAGAGCAGGAGCTGGCCAGGGAGGAAGTGCGGCCTCAGGGGTCAGGCTGAGGTCCTGGTGACTCTCCAGTCTGGGGCTCACTCAGCAGCCCCCCAGGGCTGAACTGGGGGTGGTGGGTTCTTGCCCTGCCTGACTGGAGGTGGGTGGGGGTCCGCTGTGAGGCAGGTTGTGCAGCCTCAGGTATCAGCACCAGCTGGGAGTTTCACTCGTTTTTCCATTTGTTTCCTTATTCCCCCATGCGGACCCCTCCCTTTGATGTTCCTGCTCTGTCAACCTCAGCTAATGTTGATGGACAGCAATACACTGGGGGCCCCAGATCACAAGGGCTCAGGGCCAGTGTGGGAGGAGGGTGGATATTGGCAGAACATTCTGTGGAGAACATTCCAGGCCCTTCTTGGCATGTCCAAGCAGGGACATGCAGTTTTTGAGGGGAATATCGATGAGCTGGGGTGAGCTGGGGTGAGGGCAGTGTGGCCCATGGGGGCAACGGCTGCCTGGCAGGCACTTCTGCTAGACCTTGCTCTGGAACCTTTACCTCCTCTTTGTGAGACAGGCAGATGATGGTGGAGCTCCCTTATAAGGTGACTGAGGAGCTAACCAGCCACGTGCAGTGTTTGAGTATCGCCAGCACTCCTGATGTTCCCAGGGCCTACCAGCCAGATTTCTCCCTCTTCCCCCCACCCCTCCCCTGCCCTCCTCAGGAGCCCATGCCCAAGATCAACTCCCATCCCACTGTGACTTAGGTAGCCTTGCCTTTGTCCATTTATAAATATCCACCTCCTTCCCACTCCCCCCTCCCTTCTTTAGCACCAACAGGGCTGCCATTGGAGAGAAGAGGTCATTTCTTCAAAGCTTAGCATTGCAAGCGCCACAGGGGGCATTTCTGACCCTCCAAGCAAGGGCAACACCTTTGGGGGTTGCTGAGGAGACTGTAGTCTTCATGCAGGTGGTTTCTAAAAAGAAACTTTTTGGATATGAAAGACACAGTTAATGTTGGTACAGCTATCAAAATGAAGAGCCATCAAAATGTACACGCTCAAATAATCACCACCCAAGTCCAAGAAAATCCCGCACATTGCCCCACTCCTGGTCCTGTCGATCACGTCCCTATGCCTTCTCCCAAAGATTTCAGTCTCCTGCTTTATGACACCCTGGGCTAATTGGACCCATTCTGGACCTTTCTATAAGTTCCGTTGGGTGGAGGTGCTGCTTGTGCCTGACCCTTTTTGCTCAAAGTTGCATTTTCAAGATGCCATCATGTAAGAGCCAGTAGCAATCTCATCGCCAAGCTTGCACCTTTATTTATCACACCCATCACTCACAGCTTATCAGGAGGCTTCTGCGTCATGATTCTATAAACACTCCCCCTTGTATTTTTGTACACACAGGGACATAGATCTAGGAGAGGAGGCCCGGAGGCCTGGGCTGGACCCTGCCCTGGAGTAGCAGTGGTTTGTGCAGGAGTTTGCTGAATTCTGCCCCCTCTGACAGTCCTTTCCTCACAGTCCTGTGGCTCTTGTGTTGATTTCTGTCCTTTGTGTCTGGATGGCAGGAGTGCTAATCAAGGTGATATGACTCATCTCTTCCCAGTTCCTTTACATTTGTCCATTCACACAGGTAGTGTGCAATCAGCCACAGGGGGAGACCGTGGGAACTGACAAGTGATACAAATTGGGACTTTATGGGTTAGCTCTGTTAGGTCTGGATTTATCACTTTTTCATTGTCTAGAGTTGGAATGCACATTGAGCTTATAAATGCTTCAGTGTTTAAACTGTGACATTGGAAACAGCCAAAATAAATGAAGGAAGTATTTGCCCAGTATTAAAAAACAGTTATTTGATTTAGGAAAGAAGTTGCCCATGTCATGGATGACTGAATGAAGACAGACTGAACAGTTTCCTTTCTGCCTCACTTTTTTGCATAAACAAAAATATCCACCAATGTTCATACTGGAACTGTAGTCCTGGAGCCAGAAAGAAATTAGCGCCCAAGAAATTAGCAGCCCAGATCTGGTCAAGGCCACATTCTGCCTCCGTCGCTACTGCCAGAGGCTTGTACCATGGATACATCTGTTGGTGGGTTTCTAAACAACAAAATCCAGTTATACTCTGTACTCCTATCTGGGGACCAGAGTTTCCTGGAAATGAAGGCTGTGGCTTAGCACATTAATGGACACAGGCTGGTTAAGAGTTACTGGCAGGCCCTCCCTGGTGGCGCAGCGCGTTAAAGCACAGCACTGAGAATCTAAAGCCGCTTCCACATGAGTTTGATCCCCGCCTGCCCCGGAGGTGACCACATGGCGCTGCAGACCTCTCCTGGCCGCCCGCTGCTCCCCTCAGCAGTGTACTTCGTTCATCTGCCTGTTCTGCTCCCCACTCTGTTCCTGGTGAATCCTCTCACCCTCGGATCTCTGGCCTGTACCCCAGTTCTGTATGCCCCCCCCCCAAAAAAAAAAAAGAGTTACTGGCAAAAGATTTCACTAGCAAGTGCCAGGATTTCACCAGCAAGCGCCATGTCACAAAGGCCACCTGCCGTAGGCTGACCCAGGCGGGCAGAGGGCTTTGAGGCCTTGAGAGTTTGAGCGGAAGGGAGACGCCAGGCACAGGGCTGGGGCAGCCTGCAAGCGCTGTGGGCAGCCCCATCAGCAGGCGCAGAGGGCAGTCTGCGGGCACTGCCCGGGCCGATGTGCCCTCCCTGTCTAGGTCTCCCGCTCTCTTTGCAGCAGCCCACGGCCCACCTGGCAGGAAACCTAAGCTGGGCTGTCCCAGGGACCAAAGCGTAGTTTGAGGAAGTTCTGTTCCTTTGCAAGACTTTTCTCTGGGGTTTTGTTCTCAGCTCTAATCTCAATAAACGGTTCGGTGTCCTGATATCTGTGGGTGACGCTAAGTGGCCTGTAAAATGAAGAACAAACGCTGTCCAGGAGTGCACACCAGGCCCTCTGTGGCTGGTGAATGTGTCCATTGTGGTTTGTTCTTTGCAGCCAGCTAGACTTTTCCTGCTCTTTCTCCCACAAGGAGGCCCTGGTGGGGTCAACAGTCAGCCACAAGTGGGTTGTACCTGTGAGCCTTGCGGAGGTGGGCTCTGCATTCCACGTGGGCTGAATAGAGAGAAGCTTCAGTCACCTTCTGAATTCATGGACAAGGAGGGAAAGCACAGAAGAGGCCCAGATGGGAGACTCTGTTCTCCACTAGTGAGAGGGGCGGGAGCGACAGTGGGACCTGAGGGTGATTAGGAAAGTGGAAAGAATGGTTTTTGGACACCCCATTATGTGTGACTAGGCATCAAACTTTTCCTGAGGAGGAACTGGACTTACGGTCCCAAAAATACAGCCCCAGACCTCTACCTTTGAATCCGGTAGAACCCGTTCTGCTTGGCAGCGAGGTAGGGAGCGCCCTCACCAGCCACCTAGAGGTCCATCTGACGGTGTCCAGCGTGGGACTTCTGGCTCATGCCCCTGCTGCTCTCTCTAGCCGTTACCCCCCCACTCCCGCCCCCGCCCCCGTCCCCATCTCAGTTAATTCTAGCTCCTATAGCTCCAGCATCCTTCTCTGGCAGCTCCTGGTCTTCTACCCCAAACCCCCTTAGAATCTGTGCAAATGCCATGGAGTTCACCTTGAAAACACACCTAGGACCCAGCGCCTTTTGCCACATCCTCACTGCTGAGCCCCAGGCCTTGGTGTCTCCTCTCCCCAGATTACTGCTGAAGTCTCTACAACTGCCTCTGCCCCCCGCCTTGTTTCTCCCTC